TGGATGGATGGATGGATGGATGGATGGATGGATGGATGGATGGATGGATGGATGGATGGATGGATGGAACACTTAAAAAACAATTATTTGTTTGCTTGACATTATAGTAAAGGTGTGTCTCAGTTGAACTTTTCTTTAATAAATGCACTTTAATGGTCAAATCAGCTGCGTTTCGCCTGGGTGGCACAGTGAAATGCAGCTGATTTGACGTTTGCTCTAGGAGTTCCAGAGCGAGACAAAGGTGGCTTTGTATGGCAAGCCAAGTATCTCATCAATAGCCACTTTTACCTGTTAATGAGACATTTGGCTTGCCATATTAGTCGAGGGCCCTCTAGCAGCTGAAAATGGTAGTGTTCAATATTTTCCATGATGGAATGAATGAAATCGTCAGATCTCAGCCAAAAATTGGGTTATAAATATGGGGGGGGGGGGAACATAAATAAGTCGCTTTGCCATATTAGTCACAGGGCGTGCACATATATGCAAAAAGGTGCGACTAATATGGCGAAAAGTACGGTACCTAGTTTTTATCATTATGAACTAGATTTTTAAAATACATTATTACACATCTATTCTGCCAACTGTTTTTTTTATTAATATTTTATCCAAAAGCTGAGAAATTGAGGTTATGAGGTACAGGAACAAGCTTCCCAGACAACCATCAGGTTTCTAGAGCCTGTTTGGAGACATTAAACCAGTCTGCTGTTGTGTAGCATCCGGTGGGCATGAGTCCATGTTGTGCTTTTTCTGGTTCGAAGGTTCTTGGAAAAGCTTCATCCCTGCACCACATCAACAGCAGGGCTGACGTTTACAGTTTAAAGTTTTAATCCTGTACACTGACACCAGCATAATCAGCAATATTTAGAAGCAGGCAGTCTGGTCGTATAAACTGTATTCATGTTGTTAGATCTAAAATGGTTGGTTGGGACATAACTATTCTGAGATGTTTACAGATTTTGAACTGGAAGTTATCAAAGTGACTTCCCACGAATGATAAATTGTTTTAAAATTGAAAGTGCAGCTTTTTTTTTCCCTTCTAGAAATGTGAAGGATGTCCTCCTCATTGAAAACCATTTAAAAAATCACTTCTAAAGACTAAGGTGTCTGTTGGGAGATGTTTCAGAAAAGTGCATTGCATAAGCTATTAGTATTGTTACTAGTACAATTATTAGTAGTACTATTTTTATTAAACAGAAGTAATTTTTCACGCAGCAGCTTTTTTACAGCATTAACAGAGATGCTGATTGTCTTCAGCTGCTTATCATAACTAAAACATCCCGACAGAAACACGTGCAGTGTAACACGGTTTTCATATGGTGTCAAAAAGCACATGAGTGCGATAAAATATGAAAACTATCATCTACATGAGTGTGTTCTGGTTCTCTAAATACTCAATTATACTCTGCTCCACCCTTCCTAGTCACAAGCAGAACGAGTCAGATTAAATGTGCACGTGCCCGATTTGAAGTGTCTGTGGGGAAACGCGCTCTGCTCCTTGGTTTCATGTGTTCCTGCATTTTATTTTCAGGGTGCGTCCTCTGTCTGATGGCAGTAACCCCTGGTCCACCAGCCTGCTGAAGTCCCAGAAGTCTGTCCCCCTTGCTGCCCTGTTTGGTGAACAAGGTGACCTGAAAATCTGTTGTTATATTAAGATTCACTACACAACTTTGAAAAGTGTTGAAAATGTTAAAACTATTAAATTAGTGTTTTTTACGTATTGAAGAATAAAGAACTTTATTTTTTAAGTGTTTGTGGGCTATTTTGCCCAGTTCTGTTAAATTGTCATTCCTCAAGATTATTTCATCAAACAAAAGATTACCCATCTGTTTTTTATTGGTTTAGCTATAATAGTGTGAATGCTTACTAAGCATTCACACAGTTGTGATCCACTTTTGAATTATTTGTACGTTTTTCGGCACGATTCTCGTCCTGCAGTTTTCAAGCTATTTCAACAAATCTCATATCAAATTGTTCAGCTGTTTCAGAACAGTCCTGCTATGACTTTTAGTATTGGTGCAACTTTAGCTTTTAGAAATATTTATCCTTTTCTGCCACTTCTTGCTCATAGAAAATGAACTGAGCTCATTTTACGTCCTTCATATCTTTAGATCTGTTTACAACCTTTGACTGCTCCTTGCACGTTTTGTCTGGTTCAGCTTCTTTCAGCTTCCTTGTGCAAATTAAAACTTTTTCAGCTACTTTCACCTGTTTTTTCAGCTGTTTTGTGCTCCTTTCAGTTTATTTCTGTTAACTGCAACATTTTTGTGCTTCTTCTAACTACTTTCAGCTAATTTCAGCTTGCAATGCTCCTTTCAGCTTAATTTTGCAAGTTTCAGCGTTTTTTTGCCATTTCAGCAACTATTTGGCTGCTTTTATGCTAATTAGCTTTTTCAGCTAATTCCACATTTTTTGCACTCATTTCAACTTTTTTCAGCATAATTTATCAAAAATGTGCTCTCTCTATGTCCTTCTGGTAATTTTAGCTTCATTCTGCCTTTTAGCTACTTTTCAGCTGTTTTTTTGCTTTTTTAAGATAATTTCCACTTTTTTGTGCAAATTTCTGCTTCTTTAAGCCTAATTGAGCAAATGTGTTTGTTATTTTTTCTGCTAATTTACCGTTAAGCTTGTTCTAACTGTTCAGCTACCCTTGTAGCATGTTTGTAGCTAATTTCAGCCATTTTCAGATAAATTCAAGTTTTTTGTGGTAATTGCTGCTACTTTCAGCCTAATTACTGTAACTTCTTTATGCTAATTTCAGCTTATGTTCCTTTCAGCATTATGCTGTTAGTTTCCACTTTTTCTGCTCATTCAGCTACTATTTAGCTCTTTTTATGCTCATTTTAGCTTTTTCAGGTAATTTCACATTGTTGTGGGCTAATTTCAGCTCTTTCTGCTTCCTTCAGGTAGTTTAAGCTACTTTCTGCCTTTTCAGCTAATTTTCAGCTTTTTTTTTTTTTTTTTTTTTTTAATTTTTTGCTTTTTTTTTTTTTTTTTTTTTTCTAATTTAGGCTTTTTTTTTAGTTAATTTCCTAATTTTAGTGCTCATTTCTGCTTATTTAAACTTAATTCAAGAAATGTGTTTTCTTTCTGCTTCTGCCAATTTAGGCTTCTTCATCCATTTCAGCTACATTCAGAATTTTTTTTTTTTAGCTAATTTCAGCTGTTTTTCAGCAAGTTCTTGTGAAATCAGCATTCACACTGCATTTTTGCAGGATGTGCAATTTGTCTAGTTTTGATATTTTTTAAGTTTTCTGGACAGTAGATTCTGAAAAAGTATAAAACTTTAAAATAGAGAATATAGATGAACTTTAGATTTGAACAGTTTGACATCTGGGTTTACTGAATGTTTGATCTAAATGGGTTCAGACGTGTTTTCAGTGTTTAATTTCTGTGTTTTCAGCAGGTAAAGATGAGATGTTCTCCCAGGAATGTCCTGACAACAGCTCCAAACCAAAGCAGCTCAAGTTCCCCAACCAGGTGTACATCGATCTACCTCTGTGGAAGGACGAGCAGCAGCCTCAGAGCCTCGGAGGAAACAATGGGCTGGGAGATGCTGGGGTCAGCACAGGAGGTCCGGGTGGCCCACCAGAGACTCCAGATGACCCCTGCACCACCACATCCACCTCCTCCACCTCTACCACCCCGCAGCTAACGCCCACCAATAGCTTGAAAAGATCATCGGCTCGCCGCAAGACTGAATCTGCACTGTACGGCTGTGGTTCGTTGCTGGCTTCCATTGTGCTCGGTTACGATCTTAGAGAGGCCATTAAAAACGCTTCCCACGGGGAAGAGTCCGAGCCTCCGAAAGAGGAGAAGAAGAAAAAGGAGGGCCTCTTTCAGCGTGCCACTCGGTTTCGCCGCAGCACTTCGCCGCCAAGCGGTCGCTCCCGCAAAGAAGAGACGTCGTCAAACAACGCCGGCACCCAGCCCGTCAATCTGGTCTCCATGTCAGCCATTATGGAATGCAACTCCACCAAGTGCCTCCTGCAGTCAGAGGTTGAGGTGTCAGACTCCAGTTCAGCGAGGGCTGAGCATGTGGTTAATAATCACCACCACGTGGCCCAACCCAGCAGAGCAGCTTCTGTGGACAAGCAGAGGAACAAAACTGCAGCTGAACTGCAGAAACCAGCACAAACACAGAGCCAGCTGCCAGAGCAGAGCAACCACAACACAGGGACCCGTCTGCGCAGGAAGAAGTACACGACTAAGCACAGCGGTGAGCGGCACACAGCATGAAGGAACGTTGGTTGGCAGCACAGTATCTGACTGTTCTCTTTGTTCACAGCCAACGGCCCGTCCACTGTGCCCCCTCCTGCCACTCAGAAGAAGCAGGCCAAGGAGCGAGATGAAAAGCCACCAAGTAGAGAAGCGGACCCACGACCGCGGCCCGTGTCTTTCCGGGCCAAACCCCACACCTGGGCCCTGCTGCGCCGACACAACAAGAGCTACTCCCTGGGCCACTACTCTGGAGAGAAGGCGGCTCAAAACCTGAGCGTGGTGCTGTCCTCGGAGCGAGGCTGCTCCCTGCTCGACATGGACGCAGAGGGACAGAAGCGAGACTGCACGGTGCCGCTCTGCCGCATCCAGAGCTCCCCGGGACGGCCGTCCGTCTTCGAGCTGGAGAAGGGGTTCCTCTCCTAACAGCCCGGAGGATCGATGCACTCTGGTCATGGATCATCTTCTTTTGCTTTTGTCTTTATATTTCTAAAAGTTTGACACTTCGTCATAGTGCCAGAGTGGAGTGTGTCACATTCTGACGACATACACACCGTCATGTCTCCAGAACACACACCTGGCTCTGAAACCTGAGCGGGACGTCCCGGAGACCGGATCAGCAGTGCTCTCTCTCTCTCTCTGATCCCACCGGACTGCTGCTTTTGTTCTCGTCTCTCTCCACCTTTTTCAGCCCCTTCTTTTCACATCCTGTCACTGCAGCTCAACGTTGACCGCCGCTGCAGCTTTCCCAACACAGCGCCCTCACCTTTTTATTTATTTTTATCCGTAATTTAATATGAAGAGACTGGACCTTATGTTAGTGGCCAGCAGGACATACATTCCATGTCGGCTTCAGAGCTGTGTGATCACACTCTTAGATGACTTTTTTGACTTGAGAATCATGCATGCATATAGTCTTAAACTGTAAAACATTGTAAATATTACTTTTTACCCACTCAGCCTAATGCTGCGGTTGTTTTTAATGGCACACGTGGTGTTTTATGGTCGTTTCTGAAGAGTCAGAGATGCTGCAGTATGCACCAGGTTGCAGAACAAGTCATAGTGCAGGTGCAGGTATGTTTCCACTCAGACTGCCATGAAAATGTTAAAGACGCAGGTAGAAACGCACCAAACGTTTCACGCAGCAGACACTGAATGTCTCAGTCTAGAACAGGGCTATTCAGCAAAACTGCTCAGGGGGCCACAGTTTGTGAAAGCCAGCAGCTCGGGGGCCGGACATCCAGCGATTAAAATCATGTAAATAAACCAAAGTTTACAATGATACGTTACCTTTTAAATTTGTTTGTCGTTGCATTGAATCATAAATGCAATAAACAGAACCCAAAACTCAGAACCTCACCCCAAATTATTATTATTATTATTTTTATTATGAAGGGGGCCAGATTGAAGTCACCGGCGGTCTGGAAATGGCCCGCGTGCCGCCAGTTGAATAGCTCTGGTCTAGAAGTTGTAACCATGTGCTGCTGCAGAGTGAGGGACCACTTCTACGATGGATGTTTACATCAAGAAAACAAAAGTCACAAATGAATAAATCAAATCCCCTTAATGACAGCCAATGGACTGATGCTAACGCAGGCGTGTCTGTTCTGTCAACCTCGTGCCTTTACTTCCTTCTTTTAAGGTCAGTAAATCTGCGTTTCGCACGTTTCTCCTTATTTGACTTCAGTATTTCGAACTGAACTGTTACATCCAACTTGAGTTTGATTCTCATTGTCGTTTCTGATTGGTTGAAATCAGGCAAGACGTGTATTAATTTGGCCAAATGATCCCAGCAGACTTGATGTCTGGAGATATTTGACTGAAGAGCGCGAACCCACGTAGACTTTTGTGTTTGTCGTTGAACCGTCGACGTGCGGCCAGTTGAACGTTGTGCTCAGGACTCGCAAAGGGCTCCGTTTGTTACGTAGCTTCCTCTCCAGATGTTTTTAAATCTGAACAAACGTAGGACTTAATATGCAGTATATGTTCTGGATAATGTTCCAGAGTCTGTTCAAATGTTTACTTGTGATTTTTATGCCCTCGTTTTTTTTTTTTAATTGTTATTATTTATCATGTTTACGGAGTTCACCAAGGATGAATTTTCAGAAAGTTACGCAGGCAGTCTAAATGTGTTCCTGTCGTGTGTCCTGCTGAGACATTTTCTGACTGTAGAACATGAAGTGTCCTTTTTTTTCTGTTTTTTATCACCACTGACTCTAAAACCAGCTGGAACACTAAAAGCCTTACCGACTGTTAAAGGTGCTGTCTTTAGGCCAGTTTCTGTGAGAAATAAGATGTTCTGTAAATAACACACTGGTCCTGTACGTTTCACTCAACCGCGCTCACAGTCAGGTTAATATTAGCTCAACATTCCCATGAAACCATCGCACTGGACTAACTGCAGCAATAATCTGGATAAAACAGGATTCTGGGACCAAACTTCAGATGCTGAACCACTGATCGAACCTGCTGCTTCTAGGAACCACTCCGAAATGAAGGTCAACTAAAAGACCCGTCAACAAAACCTGCTGTTAAACTCGATCGTGTTTTAAGTCACTGAGCACGTGTCACGCCGACTGCGTCTGATTTAGCTCCTGTTTCAGTGAACGCGGTTGTTATCCTTACAGTATTGGTTGTTTCACGCCTGATCGATCAACAGTATCATGTTTATCAAGATTTTGAATAAAGTCTAAATCAAGGCAGTTGTTGCCTTTATTTTTTTTATTTATTTAAGAGGTAGAAATAAGCACTCGTGACCATTTACAGAAGAAGAAATATTTTAAACATTGTGTAAAGAAGAGAGAAACTCATTCAAACAACGAGTGAGTTTGTAATCCATAAATCCAGAGATTTCAGCCGACAGCTTTAACTATCACCGTATTTTTCAGACTACAAGGTGCACTTAAAATACTTAAATTTTCTCAAAAATTAACAGTGATCCTTTTTTTTTTTTTTTTCATTTAGCCTTTATTTATCCAGGTTAGTCTCATTGAGCCACGAGAACTCATTTTCAAGAGAGACCTGTTTTTTTTTAGGGAGCACATGGTGGGGGTTAAGGGTCTTGCTCATGGGCCCAGAGTGGGGCGAATGAGGGTGGGGGCAAGTGTGGGTGTTTCACCTACCCCACCCACAATTTTTGATGTTGTCTAGGCCGGGGCGTGAACCGGCGATCTTTGGATCACAAGCCCACCTCTCTAACCTCTGCGCCACCACTCCCCTATAATCCGGTGCGCCTTATGTATTAATTCTGGTTGTGCTTACTGACCTCGAACCGATTTTATGTGCTTATTGTGAATGAGTTGAATAAAGTTTCACTTGTCTCACTGTAGGCCTGTCACAATAATAAATTTTACTGAGGGATTAATTGTCTCAAAAATTATTGTGATAAACGATAATGTTTTGCCTTTTTTTGACCACCGGATGGCAGTATAAGAGTTTGAACCGAAGGATGGATAGTGAGGGAGCGAGCAGCGCATCTCTAAGGAAAATTAATGAGAGGCCTCTTGACGTGGCATGGGCTGTCTCTTTTCTTTTTTCAGTTCTCAAAATGGCGAACGCTCGGTGTGGTTTGAGCTCTTTAGCATAGCATTTTTTACACAAAGCTTTAAAAAAAAAAAATCAGTAATGTTCTCAGCTTCTTTTTGCAGAGAAAAACAACTTTTTGCACGAAGGCATGAGTTTCAACTGTGATTTTTGGAGCTTGGACAACACGAAGCCCCCCCCCCCCAGGTTGGCCTGCTAGCTTAGCTTGTAGTTAGCTTCTCAGCTTAGCTGCGTTTAACGATCCAAAAACACGATTTTGGATTGTTAAAACAGATTTTAAAGGGAAAGGGAGGGGTCAGTGAAGAACACCGGAGTTGAGACTTTTGTCATCCAGTGTCTTCAGTAGAAAGAGAGAGACACGAAGAAACGATGAAGCTGATGAATTAAAATGAGGTTGATAATTTTCATTTATCATGCGATTAATTGATTTATTGTTTATTGCGACAGGCCTATCTAACTGTTATGTTTCTCTTAATACGCCTTATAATCCAGTATGCCTTATGTATGAAAACAGACCCTTTCATTGATATTGCACCTTATAATGCAGTGCACCTTATAGTCTGAAAAATACAGTAGTTTTGTGTTAAAGACATTTTTCCTTTATTGATTATGGGAAAGTAGCACAAATATTAAACACAAAACATTCTGTTTTTTTGTCTAACTCGGGGAGATTCTGCAAAAAATTACGTTTCATTAATGCTCAGTGGATAAAATACAAATCAGTGATGAGTGTCACTTTGTTAATGCTTTTTAAAACAGTTCCCCTGTTTTAGTTTAAAATGAAATAAAAAAAAAAATACAAGTTTCACAGTTAAAACTGGTTCTGCTGCCATAAAACAAAACAATACAATAAAGGACTTGTTACAGTACGTTGATTTCAGTCTTCATCAGCATCCTCCAAACCCAGCACGAGATCTTTAAGTTTAGACGAGTAACTCAGGAGGAGCAGCAGGTCTTTAAAAATAAATAAGATTTTAAATGTACTCATTGCAATGTCATCAGAATTTTTTAATCACTTTTTTTTTCTTAAAACAATGGTTATGTCCTTAAATTAAAAAAAATATGAAGAGCAGCTGTTTGTGTATGAAAACAGGGCAACAATGGTGGCGTCCATGGAAGAGGCATTTGGGATGGAGAAGTCCGACAGTTTTGCCGTTTGTACGTATTTATAGTAAATTTTGTAATGTATGCAGATAAAAGTGCTTTGTTTACATTGAATGTGTACCTGCATTCCAGAATTAAATATGGATATTTATGGAAAACTACAGGTCAAACAGCAGCATTTGATATAGTTCAGGATAAACCTTTTTATGTTTGCAACGAGCACATTTAATGAATCGTGAATCGCATCACTTCTACAAGCGGAGATCTTTGTTGCTGTCGAGGTAGTGAGGACAATTAAAGCTGTAGTGATGAGTCAGGCCAGACGAGTTCCTCTGCAACAAACAAAAATAAAAAGTAGTGAAATACACACACGAGAGGAACTATTCAAATCAATGTAAATGCCATCACAGCATAGGTGTCGCAACAATTATACCATACCACTTTATTTATAAAGCACTTAAAACAGCGACAAGGCCAACTAAAGTGCTGTACAGACAGAACAACAGGTAACGTACAAAGCAAAATACAAAATGAAGTAAATCGTGGGGACGCGTCCCCCTCACATTCATTTGGACCCCCCACATTTACCACAGTTCACCCAGTGCTGTTTCTATTTCTTCGTGAACGAATCCGTTCCACTTGATTGAGAATACTCAAACTGCTAAAAGTCCACTCCAGGTTTTCCTGGTTACCTGCAACAACTCATGAAGTTTTTCTCTCAGGTCACTTTCCTTTGCAGGACACTCATCTCTTTGGGGGGTTTTGGACAGGGCTTGGGGGGGGACACCTCTGTGTTGCGTGCTAGCTTAGTGCTAGTTAGTGCCAGCCATTGTTGACTGGGGTGTGATGGGGTTGGGTTATGATGCGTGAGAGAAGTGGAGTGCTACATCTAGAGCATTTTAACTAGTGCGTCTGCTTTGCACGCCACTATCTTAGTGCTATGTTAGTGCCAGCAATTGTTGACCAGGGTGGGTGGGTGGTTAGGGTGTGTGAGAGAAGCAGTGTGTGCTCTATTCACACAAGGAGAGCTGTTGGTCAGGCTACCTCTTGTTGCTCTCTAAAATTGTTATTGAATCAGATGTTAACATACGTAGGTAAACGTAGATGTTTAACAACCTGTTAAAATACACAAGAATGCAGGAAATGGCATCTACTTTATGCACATTTTTTAGGGGGACGACCCCCAGAACCCCCCAGCAGTGTGTGTGTCCCCCCCCCCCATTACAAATGCTGCTGACACCAATGCATCACAGATCTAAAAATAGTGAAAAGGGTGGGGTGAGCTGAGATTTCTCCTCCAGGAGTTTCATTTGTCCTCCTCTTTCTTGTCTCGCAGCTTCAGGCGGACAGCGGATACCTGCCTCGCACTCGCTGGCGATATCGTGTCTGAACCAGCCGGCTGCAGCACGTTCTCACGGATATTTGGGGCCTTTTGCTGCAGCAGGAAAAACGACATGCGAAGACGTCTGTTGTTCCTACCTGTGTGTTCAGGGCGTCTTGATGCATTTCGCAGTGCTCCTAACGCTGCTTTTGGCATGCCAGGGGATGACGGTCTGAGCCTGCAGGCAGTATTTAGTTTGGGGGTTCATCTTGGTCAGCATCAGCTTATTGGAGCTGTAGGCCACCTCAAACACCTCCTGGAGAGGAGAAAGTGATGTTCCACATATCAGTTCCCTCAGCTTACATGCCCTATTTTAATCTTTTAAAGTTGTCCTTATCTGTAGTTCTATGAGTCCTCAAAAGGTCTTTTAAGGTTTGATTGAATATTGTTTAAAAAAAATCTTGTTATAGTGCAAGATGTTGTGCTCAGAATATGTGTTGGGAGTGACTCTCAGCTACCACCACGCCAAATTTTAGCTCTATAGCTGTAAAACGGACTGATTTAGAGTCATTTTCGTGTTGGCTAATGTTGATCAGCTGTGGCGGCTATTTTGAATTGTGTTGGCTCCAAACATGAATCAGTTGAAGATTTACATACAACAATTAATTTTTTAAGGTTTCATTTAAATCCCTCTAGGAGTTTATGAAATATTTTGCTAACAGACAAATAAGGTTGACTTCAACAGGTAACGCTTAAGTTTTAGGCAAGGTTCATGCGCAAAGAAATGCATTTGATTATATGTTGTGACTGGCTCTGAGCTACAATCACTACAAATTTCATCATAATATCTGTCAAATTTATTGGCATTGGCATTTTTGTGTTTTCCAAGTTCAGTTGACTGTGGCGACCATCTTGCACCGAGTTGGCTCTGAAAGTTTCATTAAAATCTTTGGCGCCGTTCATGATCTATTTTGCTAACAGACAAACAGAGTTGGCTCAAAATAGTTAATGGGTAAATTTAAAGAAATAACTTAAGCAACTTATTTGCGCTCAGAATATCTGTTGGATGTCAGTCTCAGCTACTACCACACCAAGGTTTAGCTCAATATCTGCAAAATTGAGTAAATTATAACCATCAATGTGTTTTTTAAGCTCAGTTGGATATAGCAGCCATCTTAAATCAGGCTGATGTAAAAAGTTAAACAGTTGTAGATGTGTATCGAATGATTATTCTCTGAAAGTTCCATACAATTTCGCTGAGTGGTTCATGAGATATTTTGCTAACAGACACAAAACAACATTTAAAAAAATCAATACACAGAAGAAATGCAGGTTTGGATTTTGCTGTTCGCTTCATTTCCTCTCAGAGAAGCTGCTCTCTGGCCTCCGTATCCTGACCCAGATAGTGACAACCTGCTGACACACGGGGCCATTCGAAAGAAAACGAGCCGTAAGTTGTTTTGTTCTTCTTTTTGTTTTTTGTTCTCGTTCTTCTGCGCTTCCTCTTCCGCCTCATCTCCAACCCTCATTTCCTCTTTATCTTTAAATTCGTACTGATGTGTAAGTTTTACAATCCACACTCTGTGACTTGGAGACTGAAAAATAATCTCGACAGTTTTCAAAAAAAATATATAAATCGCATCTTTTCTCTTTTTTATTTACTGCATATTTTTTTGGTTCTATTTTAGCGAAGCAGTCGTTACAACGAGACATTTTCAGTTTTTCCACCATTGAGGCCAGTTTGCTCACCCTCTGCGCCCGTGCCTACCTCAGTTTTGTTGGCGTGGATGACGTAGACGTTGTAGAGCAGGCTGTGGTGCAGCTTGCGGAGCAGCGCCCGAGAGGCCTTCACCTGAACCGTGACGCCTCGCGTGGTGACGCTGGCCTTCAGTGAAGGGGGACTGATTTTGGCTGCGCACATGCAAAGTTCATTGAGTTCATTTGCAGAAGAAAAATCTAAAGGAACATTTATTTTTGTATCCTTCGTGTGTTGCTGCGTCTGTTCGGGTGGTGCTGGTTCCACTTACTGTCCCAGCGGGGGCTGAATCTGGGGGACAGGGTCCAAGCCGATCTACTGCTGGAGGGAGCGGAAGACGCGGACACTCGGGCGTAGTACCACTCGCTGGTTTTCGATGTGACGCCGCTGAGGTCACAGTGGCGCTTGTGGATCCCCTGGCAGTTCGCAGCGTCCAACCAATCAGGCTCTCCGTAGCTGAGGGGGGTACAAACGAGCTCATCGGTTTAAGATTTAAACGTGCTGTATTTTTCGGATTATAAGGCGCATTAAGCGAAATTTAAATATTTTGACAGATTTGTGAGCGCCGTGCACCACATAAAATCGATTCAAGGTCAGTACGAGCCAGAATTAATACATAAGGTGCACCAGATTATAAGGCTCACTGTTGATTTTTGAGAAAATTATAGGATTTTTTAAGTTTGCCTTATAGTCCGAAAAATACGGTAATCACTGCTTGAAGAGAAAGTAGTTACACTTTATTGTTTTCTGATAAAAGTGTGGTTTTTTTTTTCATTTGTAGTGCTGTAACCATTTAATTATCACAATGTTTATCTTGATTGGTTCTAGTGGGCTACGAGGTTTAGCATTTCTAATATTTACACTTTTCAAAGTATTCAACTTAATTTACAAAACACAAATTCCCATAAAGGACATTGATTCATCTTCAATCCTTTCAAATTATTGTTTTCTTTGTAAGCTGCTTCAGCGTACCTGCTCCATGTTTTAGTTTGGTTTAAGCTGTGATTTTGCTCAGTTTTAGTTTTTCGCTACTGCTTTGACGAGTTTAGCTTTTAGCTACAAGTTTATCTCAGGATCAGAATAAGATGTATTATGACTGTGCCAAAACACAGTGAGATTATGTTTAGATTATGTAGAGATTATGTTCGTACGGTCGTCTGAAAGATGGGCGGGGATAGACAGCTTTCTTAGTTTACACATATCCCAGGAGAAATTTGACAAGTCGGCCTGCTTCCAGGCTGAACGGGGGAGTCAGATTCAGATAAGCCACAGCTGTTGATTTTTTTCAGGCAGACTATTGTTTCTCGTCATCCTTGACTTCTGCTGGTACTTTTAATCCAAAATGGCCAGATTTGTGGGCGTCATACTGGTCTGTGCTTTTTAGCTCCCTCCAAGGTCGTCCCCGACATGCTGGCGAGTCCCAGAAGCCGCAAGTGGCCTACGATTCTCACAAATCGCTTCCATCTTATGGTTTAGCTCATATATCAGCTGAGTGCTCGAAGCACGAACCAAAACTTCACAGGGTCGGAAGCTTTGCCATGGCCGAAACTGCTGTTGCCATCTTCTTTCATAGCCGATAACATACGTATCTGCTGGTGCCAAAAAGCAGACACCCTGCTATCATGATTCCAATGTCTTCGGCGTCCTCCTGAGACAGTACGGAAAGGCACATCAGATCCATGACGTATCCTGCCGCGTGCGTCTCAGCGGGACATGAGGGCTCTCCAGGACCTGTCGCTTTGTTCTAATGTTAACTTTTAGCTACACTTTAGCACATTTTAGCTTTTAGCTGCTGTTTTGCTCGTCACTTTTCTTTTAGCTTCTGTTGCTCAAACCTTTAATATTTGTGAAACCTTACTTCCGTCTCTGAATTTGATTTAAAGCTAAAATAATTAAACAAGTACTAAAAATAAAAATGTGTGCGTGCGTGCGTGCGTGCGTGCGTGCGTGCGTGCGTGTGTGTGTGTGTGTGCATGCCTCACATCTTCCATTGGACATTGTACAGCAGTGAGGAGCTGTTGGAGGGTGGGGTCCAGTGCAGGACGTTTCTGTAGTCCGTGGACTTGAACTTCACCTGTGACGGTGGAGCGAGCAGCTCTGGAACACAGGAAGTGATTCAGGATGAAGCTCAGAGGGTGATGAGACAAAGTGACAAATAAGAGGTTAGTGGCTGCTGGCTGGTGCAGGAATCCCCTCTGACCTTGCTCCTCAGTTGTCATATCGTTTACTTTAACACTGAAGCACTTTTGTCTGCTTTTTTACAAATGTGTCACGCAAGAAAAATTGATCTTTGACCTCTGAAGCTAGGCAAAACTAAAGAAAGAAGTCCGATGTACACAAACCGTGTAGTGTTACGGATCAGTGCAGATAAATGTGGATGTCATTGTTGTATTTTTTTATTTTCTACATTTTATTCTGAGAAACTTTGCAAGGAGTTGTGAAATAAAACCTTTTTAAATAGATGTGATTTTGAAAACTGTAATTATTTAAATACAGTGAAGTTTATAGTCTTATACTTTTGATCAAGTAAAGAAAATTAGTTCCCTCGTTTCTTGTTTTCCCTTTAAGATAAAGGGAGTCGTCAGCTTTCAGCATTTCTGTTCTTTCTTTCTTATTTTGATTCCTAAATGTACTTCATTTTTATGCCAGCACTTATTTGACTAAAAGCCATTCAACACTAGAACTATAGAACTATATACTGTGTGTGTGTGTGTATGTATATATATATATATATATATATATATATATATATATATAATACATTTATTTGTAGGCGCCTTTCTTGGCACTCAAGGTCACCTTACATTGTCAATCTTAAAAACAGACACAATATTATACACACAGTAAAAACAAATAAAATAGAATAAAAATAAGACAATGCAGTTGCAATCACAGAGTGTAGGCTTCTTTAAACAGATGAGTTTTGAGTTTGATTTTGAAATGTGACAGTGAGTGTGTATTACGAATATCAGGTGGGAGTGAGTTCCAGAGCTGGGGAGCAGAGCAGCTGAATGCTCTGCTCCCCATAGTAACAAGACGGGCAAGGGGAACAATGAGCTGAATAGAAGAGGAGGATCTGAGGGTACGAGCGGGTGTAACGATGTGAACAAGGTCCAAAAGGTATGGAGGAGCGAGGTGGTGGACAGCTTTGAAGGTAAGGAGGAGTATTTTGTAGTTGATGCGATATGGGATGGGAAGACAATGAAGTTGTTGTAAAACAGGTGTGATGTGATGGATTGATGGGGTCCGTGTAATGATAC